CAATTAAATTAATTGCAGTTATGCCCTATTTGCCTGAATTGTATTCGTTTTTTTAACTGATCTATCCTCTTGATTCCCTTGATACTAATAATACTATTAACTAATCGTTTCTTCTACTAGCTGCATAATGCTTATTTTTTACATTTATTTATGTTTTCAAAATCCTTAATTCAGCAGTTTTAATGTTACATATTTGGTTCTCCCGCTGGATCACATTAGTTTCTATGGCATGTCTCATAAGTAATGTGGGATCTCTTTCCAAGTACTGTGTAATACTATCTGTGACTGGCCAAAATGTGGCCCACTGCATTAAGCTTCTGTATTTAGCACTCCTAATTTCCATTTATCCACATTTCTAATCAACGTATTGTACTAAGTGCTAAACATGCTGGTGACTATTTTATGCTAGCACTGCTTCTCCTGCTTCTGGTGGAAGATTCTGACAATTGCTATTATACACTTGGTCCAAATCAGTGATTCTCAACCAGGGTGCCATGAGGTCATTTCAAAGGTGCTGCAGGGTGCCATGCAATGTTATTACTGTTAGGTGGGCAGGTACGATTCACAAGACAAACCCAGAGATTGCAAATAGGAATTCATAGTGTCAAAGCTACTCTGACCTGTTGTGGTCTTTCTGGAGTTCTGTGCAACAGAAGAATTGCTCTATTACTTTTCAGTAGTCAAAAAACAAGTGAAAACTTAGAGCTTGTGCTTTTCAAGGGTGCCTTGAGTCTAACGAAGCTAAAAAGTTTGAGAACTACTCATCTAAATAATTGCAATAAAAGCTATGGCTCTTATCCTACAAAACCCATGCACAATACATTTACTTATCAGCATAAATAAAAGTTAAATAGGTGAGTGTCTGTAGGATCAGGGTCCCTACTTGTAACACAAGCCATGAAAAGCATAACAGGCTCTTTGCCTGGCTGTGTTAGTGGTACAAATATGCCAGGGTCAGTGGAATCACTGTCATCTATCACATCTTTTGCTACTGTAAGAACTAAGATGTTTCTCCCATATGAATCTGTCTTGTAACTGGGTTATTTTCTTCTAATTATACAAGTAACATTTCATCGATATGATTTGCTACCATGCTGATATGGAGTATGTATCAGAGACAGCAGGTATACAATCAGTGTTGATCAAGATGGAATTTTCAGTTCTATAATCTTAAGTGCAAATTTAATATTGAAGATAAAAGTGATTGCTCTTTAATATGGAATCAGAACTCTGGGTAGAAGTGACATCTTTTATTAGACCAATTAGATATTTGCAAAATAAAATTCTTGCAAATCAAGATTTTTTTTTTGTGGCAAATATCTAGTTGGTCTAATAAAAGATGTCACCTCTACCCAGAGTTCTGATTCCTTTTGCCTGTAGACCAATACAGCTGCAACCTGTACTCTCTAACATAAAATTAGATTCAACACTGGTTCCTGGCAGTTTGCTGGCACTTGAGGACCACAGCAAGCAGGGATTATTTCAACTTTACCTACAAGGAGAAGCCAGCTATGGCTTTGTTCCCACAAACTACAGGATTGAGACCTATACCTGTTTCATAGCAAGAACATACACTTGGCTCATATTCTGCCCTGTCTTGTTTTTTCCAGAATTTCTAAAGCCGATAATACAAATGTCTTCTCTACACTGACCCCCTGTATAACATAGGCCAGAGCATTTCACCCACTTACTTCTGTAGCAAGTTCCCCTATCTTGTGTCTGATGAAGGTATTGCTTTTGGAAGTGCATACGGGCTTGCTTATAGAATATGGAAGATTCATCACTTCCCTCTCTAGTCTGTTCCAGTGGTTAGTCATGCTTGTTGTTAAAAATGCAGGCCTAAGCTTCTCACTTTATACTGCAGCAATTTATTTCCTGTGCTGCCCTCCCCCAGAGAAGCTCAGTTGGGTCTTGTTATGCTTTTGGCTTGGTCGACACTACTAAGTTCTGGAGCAGAACTCAAGTTTTACCATGAGGCTGAAGTTGGTTCCAGAGGAAGCTTATATATGTGTACTTACAGAGCACCTTGAATGCAGAACAACCCTTTTTTTTGCCAGTTGGGCTACACTGCTTCTCAGCGCCACAGAAGTCCTCACCATAGAACAGCAGGCACATGAAAACATGCTTAAATCTTCGCCTTCCTCAGCAGTTCGCCAGAAGCAATCTTACGTATACCACTTTGGACCCTAGTTTGAAATGTAGTGGCAAGATTCAAACTAACATGATGCCTGTCCCATTCTTTAAAATCAGCATATCATCTTGAAAATGCTTTCGTCCATCTGGCCCACTCTCCTGTATCTCACAGTAGTAGTGAATGAATAGTAATGGGAACAGTATTTATGGCATGTAGAGACCTAAGAAACATTTACAGTCTTAATTTGGGAGTTATACCCTCCTATTATGTTTGATGGCCACTAATGGACTATATAAAATTGTCCAAACCCTTTTGGGTTTGGACAAATTTGGGTTTGGACAGTTAACCCCTGGTTAAACTGTCAGCCTCTGCAACATCTTATGGCAATGAGTTACACAAGTTAATTACATGCCATGAAAGAAAGAGCTTTGTTTTAAACCTGTTCCTCACTAACTTAATTGTATGTCTTCTAGTTCCAGTATTGTAAGAGATGTTAAATAGTAAACCCATATTTTACTTTCTCTACACCATTACAGACCTCTTTCATATCCCTCCTCAGTTGTCTCTCTCTAAGCTGAAAAGTCCTAGCCTACGTAGTCACTCCTCATCTAGAAGTCTCTCCATAACACGGGCTACCCTTTCGGTCTCTCTCTATAACTTTTCTACCTCTACAATATCCTTTGGAGTTTGGGGGCCCAGAATTGCATGTAGTGTGGGCACACAATTGATTTATAGTGTCACAATGACATTTTCTGTTGTTTGCAATTCTTTTCTTTATAGTTCCTAACCCTCTGTTTTTTTGTCCATTGGGCTGCTGCTGAACACTGCGCGGACATATTCAGGGAGGTACCCGCAACCATTCCAAGATCTCCTCTTTTTTTCAGACTGTAGGGGGACTTCAGACTGTAGGGGGACTCGATCCTGGGCAAGCTGTTCGAGAAAATTATTCTGGCACACGTCCAGGAGGGGCCAGCAGGGAACTGCATGCTCAGGGGCAACCAGCACAGGTTCAT